GCAGCCCCTCGGGGGCAGACAAAGGCGGAAGCCAGGCTGCCCGGCGGGCGGACCCGTCGCCGCGGCGGGGAAGACGGGGTGCGCCCGCTGGCACGAAAAGGGAAACCGAGGCAAGAAAGGGGGCGGCTGGAATGAGCTACAACCTCTCCACAGCGGGGCTCGGGGCAGGCCAGACCTACCTCGCCCGGGCCTGCCCATCCCGCTTGCCTGGGTTGGGCACGCAGGCACTGGGTACTGACCCGAGGACCGCTTACCTCAGGAGAAGCGCTCCGGCTCTCTCCGACGGCTCCGGAGAAAGCCTCGCCGCTCGCGCATGCGCGCTCGCGCGCCTTAGCCCCGCCGGCCCCCGCGCGCGCCCCTCCGACCGGGCTCTGGGCCGCCCCGGCCCTGTCCGTCAGCGTCCGCGAGAGCCAATCCAGTCTCACAGAATGCCCAGCACCGGTCACGTGGCCAGGCGAGCCAATCATCAAATTGCCCTCGGCAGCGCCCGCTCCGATGTCCCTAGAGGTTCGGTTGCTACAGAGCTGCGCGGGTGCGAGGCGGGTACAAAGGGCTGAGTCTCTGTTTTCCGGGCTAAGTGGCACTAAACTGGTGAATTACTATATCGACTGATTTCTCAAATTCTAACTAAAGTAAGAATGACCTAGGCATCTTTTAAAATACGGATTCTGAGCCAAAAAGTCTGGGCTGGAGACCTGAGAGTCTGAATTTCTAGCACACCCATGGAGTGATGCTGGTCTGATCTGAGGACCGCGCTTTGAGGAGCACTTGTAGGAAAATGATGGTGATAGGCCGTGTTCCATGACACTTGAAAGTTTCGCGACCTTTTCTGTCCTTCCTTCAGTGATGGAAAACACTCCTAGTGACTAAACATGGAGTGCCTTGATGATGCCAGTAAGTTGGGCACCTGCTGAGGGAAAGTGTGTTCACTTTCCACATAACACACCCATAGGTCGTGGAGTAGCAACCTGTGCCAACTTGGTGACTGGTGTGTGGAAACTACAAGCAGCTGTAGATTGCTCCTTGAAGAGAATGCTAGGTCTGCATGCATCCTGAGGTATTAGGCCTGTGTCCAGGTGACTCTGTACCAGGCTCTTAGCCAGAAAACAGAAGCCGTATAAGTAGTCCCTGCTTTCCGAAAATTTGAAAAGCTTTTATGGAACTGCACAGGCAAGCTCAGAACGAAAAACATGTAGGGAGCCAACAGCCAACCACACTGGACAATTCAGAAAAATCTGGTGGTAAAATAATCTGCCTTGGGGGCTGTAACCTTACCCAAATATTCTCTTGTCCCTAATTCTGGACTCAGGAAAGCCAGAGCCTCTGCCATCTCTCAAACTTGACTAAACATCAATGTTGTCAGACTGAGCAGCAAGAGTGTTTGTTGATCTACATATTGACCCACCCCAGATTGTTCGAGGGTCTGAAGTGCTAAATTCTCCAAATCTTCCACCAGCTCTGCAGGCCAGGTGGTATGACACTGCTTCAGGCAGGGATATCTCACTATTCATAAAGGCGATTAAACTGCTTCTTAGAGATAAATTCGCCCTCATCATCGTGTCTGCCACCTGTTTTTCTGGTTTCTCAGGCCAGAAACTGAAGCCCACTTATAAACCTCAGACTTTGTTCATCCCATTGTCCCTTATCAGTGGTGACGCACAAAATTCAGTTTCAGGAAGCTCATTAAGTCTAGCATAAAGATGGCTCTGGCTACAGTAGGAGTGAAGAAATTCCTAAGTGAGAAAAATTGGTTTAAAATTTCAAAGAAATATTCTACTATCGTTAAACCAGAGGTTCTTTACTCTGGCTGCATGTTATTTAGGGAAATAAATCAAGAGTTCTGTACCTAGTGATTCTGATTGGGAGGAGAAAGGACAACTATAAGTTTGACAAGTTGTGCAGGTGATTAGGTACTCAGGGATGGTTGAGAATGCCCGCATAAGCTACTGGATTGATGGATTCATTCATTAACAAGGTAAAAGTCAATACTGCAACACAAATCACTAATGACATAAACACACTGCAAATAGAGGAATGTTTTCACATAATTTGTGAGAACATAGATTTTTAAAAGACTAAAGATAATTCATAGGTAATAAATACTCCAAAGACTATTCAGTAGAACAAGCTGAAAAGCTAGGTCCACAGCTAGGTTTAATTCCAGTGCACTAAGTGTTTCAGAAAGATCTATTGCTTCACTTCTTTTATGCCCTTAACTTAAAAATTATATATGAACAGTAAGGGTTAGTCTCTGAGGATTTTCCAAAGTGTGCCACAGAATCCCTTGGAGATACTTGTTAAATGCAGATTGTAGGACCCATCCCAGAACCTTCTACAGCTAGCATTTTTTACTACTGTAAAAATTGTGAACCAGTACTGGTTAAATCTCTGAGTCAGAGTTTTACAGCCTGGTACTGAATATCTATATACAAGCAAACCCTGTAGAAAAATAGTTGTGCTATATTGTGCTTTCTAGTTTGTTGTGCTAGCTAAGTAAAGGAGTTGAACATACTTTAAAGGACTCCAAGATATTTTCAATTCTCTTTTTTGTTTTTTTTCCAAATTCTATTACTCTGTAAAAGTGATTAATTCCTGGATCCTGGAGCAAAATTGTTACAAAGAGATTCTGTTGAGTGATAATTGGTGTAGTGGGTTTGACTTAGTTTTAACTGAATTACTGAGATCGCCTCAGAATTCTCTACCAACAACAATTATCTTGTTTGAAAGTGACTCTGTTTGTAACACCAGAAATATGGAAGCCCTATGTGTGAGGTTATAAACTAGCTTCCCTCCTCTGCCACTTTTAAAAATATATTTCACAGCAACCAAATGGAGGAGAAATTATTCGCACCTTTCAAATTTGTAGCATTATCCATTGGGGAAAATACGAATAGTTTTAGCTAAGACTTAACTAGCATGAATCATGTAAATTTTTAACAAGAGAAAAGCATTTATTTTTCTCCTTGTGGGTATCATCATGACAGAGACAGAGGAAGCAAAGAAATTCTTGCTTGAAGATGTGAACTGGAAAAAAAAGAACATCTAGACTGTCATTCATTCTCAGCTTCCTTGCTTCATATACATAACCTGGCAATCCTACCTCAGGAAATGGATATGTTAGGATCTGATATGAGTTAGCTGAAGCAATGTTTTTTTCCCCAGAAAAATTGAGGATCAGGAAATTTAAGTATATTTGCAAAGAAAATATATAAGATATAAACCATCTCATCAATTTGCCAATTCCCAGAAATCCACCATTGCTCCATTATAAACAGAACCCCTGTAGACTGCTTTATAATCACTAATTGCATTTTTATCTCTCTAGCAATAAATAGCCTCTCTAAACTTAATTGATCTCATTCATAAAGACCCACAGATTACCCAAGATTCTAGTCTCCATCTGTCATATAAATCCAGCCAGGATAACATTTTATATATAAGTATCTGCATTATAATAACTGTTATTTTTTTCCCACTTAGTGCAACTGTGTACAGATTTAACCTAACATACAAGGCATTTTTGTAGAAAAGTTGATTTGCTTATATTCTTTATAGATGGTATAAAAATGTAAGCATTCTCCTTAGTATTTTGTTAAAATATTCTAGATGTCAAAGACATGTAGATAATATAATGTGTTCTTCTACCTGCCTCAATTTTAAGGAATAAAACATTATAGAGTTGAAGCCTCCATGTTCCTACCCCAACAATTGACTTGTTAGATGAAGGTTTCAAGCTTAGCCATGAAAGAAAAAGAAGTGTATGGAAGGAAACACCGTATTGTATGCCTGTAATAAACACAAGTATAAATGGGCAAAATTCTTACGGAATAAAACATTTGGATGTTCCAAATTGATATAAGAAAAAACACTGAGAAGGCTAAAGTACCATATGATCCAACATCTACCAGTACATTTTACTTACAAATATGGACTCAGAAAGTAGGTAACTTTTAGGAAAATAATACAGGTAGTTAGAAATAAAGATGAGGTTAAAAAAATTAGGTCTGACTTACTCAATAAATACATACTAGATAGCCCGTATTTTAGTTCATTTTAATAGATGTCAGCTATTAGAAATCAGAATAAAAAGTTATGGGTTACAAGTGATGCATCTAGCACTTTAAGAAAACACATGTAAAGAGTGCCAATTCTGATTGATCAAATCAGGGAGGACTTTTTATAAGTGATGCCTGAATGTATTCCAAAGAACTTAAAATTCGCTAGCTGTTATGGACTGAACATTTGTATCCCCCAAAATGCATACACTGAAACTCTATAAACTCCCCCAACATGATAGTATTAGAAGGTAGGGTCTTTGAGAAATAATTAGGATTAAATGAGGTTGAGGCTGTGGGTGTGAAGCCCAGGAATGCATTGACTGATCATATGAAAGTCTTCAGATGCTTACTTTACTTCCATTCTCTGCCACATGATGATACAAAAAGTAGATAGTCTGCAACCCAGAAGAGGACTTCCATGAGAACTTGTTCTCACACCCTGATTCTAAACTCCAACCCTGCACAAAATCAATTTCTGCTGTTTATAAACCATCAATCTATGGTATTTTGTAAGGGTAACCTGAATGAACTAAGACATTAGAAAGGATCAAAAGGAAGGATGTTCTAGGACTACAGAATATTCCATACAAAAGCACAAGAGCATAGAGCATTGGGAAGAGCAAGTAGTTTAACTTGGCTGGGTCAGAGAGGGAAAGGGAGACAGGTGGTGATTTAAAGCTGGGTCAAGCTGCGTGTGAGGGTGCACACCTATGATCCCAGTGCTCTGGGAAGCTGAGGCAGGAGATCACAAGTCTGAAGCCAACCTAGGAAACTTAGTGACTTAGTGAGAACCTGTCTCAGTGGGGGGATGTAACTCAGTGCAGATGCCCAGTGTTCACTCTCCAGTACCACCAAAAGAGGGTGGGGGCAAAGACCATCATTAAAGGATAACAAATGCATGATCTGTCATTCCTCCCTTTTTCTATATAAATTGCAATGCACTCCATCATGGTATTAAACTTTACTGTAATGGTTATAAATAGAATCTAGGGCTCTGTAGTCTGGATTAAACTCAGATCCTCCACTTGTCAGCTGTGCAAATATACACAATTTGACCTTTGGAAGAGACAGTTTTCCTATCTGTGAAATGGAAATAGTGGCAATATAAATACTTATCTTTTACAGTTGTTGATGAGTTATAAATAATATAAAGTATTAAAGCAGTGTTAAAGAACTCTTAGCTAATATCAATATTCTCCTGAACCTACCTAGATGTGGCATCAGATTCCTCAACACAGTCTGAATGGCTCCTTATTTCTACCAGTAAGAAGTGTTACCCATGGAACTTCCCTGTCACCAGTACAGCCTGACACAACTCTGAT